ACTGCTGCTGCGTCCTAATTGGTGTTTGCTTTGATTGGACATGATCTCCCCCTTGTAAAACACCTTGAGATGTTTCTGTGTGTGAGGGTGTCCTGGAAACGCTGCTGTACCGCATTAATGAGCCTCTGCTGGAACATAACGGAGGATCATTAGGAGCCCAGTTCCTCTGACATGCCAGCAGCATCAGCGTGCTCTGGGAGCATTGTAGGGATGCGGGATGGGCTGTGGTGGGATCGCTGATCCTGGGATGCTGCTGTCCCCATGCCGGCTGCTCTGCATGCGGCACAGCACGGCGGGCACCGGTGCCTCTGTGTGTGTGTGTGTTGCTAAGCAGTTCAGCACTCGCTGTTCTCCTTCTCTAATTCCCCATCCCCGTCTTCCTCGGCTGGTGGAAATACATTTTCATATCCCGAGTAGCCACGAAACATTCCATATGATGCTGCTATCTCTGGGGGGGGACGGGGAAGATTGCAAAGCACTTGGCGTTTAACACCCACATATGGTTAACACCACAGGCTGTGTGCTGATAAAGACGGGGTAATTAAAGTTTATTTTTTTTTTTAATAGACTAATCTCCCAAGCATGTATTTATGAGCCTGATTTAGAAACATCATATTACCAAGAGCACGGGATATTTGTGTTGCTCGTAAATCCATACGTGTTCTGAACACACCTTTTTTTTTTTTTTCCCCTCCCTAAATTTAGGCAGCGCTGCCAATATTAAAAAGAAATGAGCTCAGAGTTTTGTTGGTTTTTTTTTTCTCTCCTTGTCCTTTAGGTGAGCAAAGGAAAGTGTACAAAGCAGCGAGTAATTAACTGCACGAGGAAATGATATTTCAAAGGAGACACGATGCTTTTGGAGGGGCTGTTTGCTGAGTGTTTACACCAGTGGCTTTGAATTTATCTTCATCTTGCAGCAGGTGCAAAGTCTTTAGGGGAATGTGGTGCTTTGCAAGCGGTTTCTGAGCTGTCTGCAAAGGGACCCACATCTTCTTCAGGCTAATTTGCACTGGGGTTTAAGGAGAGGAAAAAAATCCTGGGTGGGGAAGGTGGTGGTGACTGGAGCACCTCTGACTAGTAGTCCTGGCTACTCCTCTTGTTTTCCAGTTGAATTAATCTGCCATTGGATCTCTAGCATGGAGCATCTCAGGTATGATTCTGCCCTGAAGTGGAACGGTTTACTTTTTTTTTTTTCTGCTTCTCACTCTTTGCTCTTGCATGCTGTGGGGAGGGGTTAGTTCTCCCCATTTGAAAAGAATTAATTTATTCTTCATCCTGGTTGTGGGCCCTGCCCACTGCCCTGCCTGCTGCTCTGCTTCTTGGACACAGGTCTGCCACTCCTGGAAGCCCCCACAGGCCATCACTTTCTCCCCAGAACAGCCCTTGGGCACCCACTAACTCTTTTGCCACCACTCAAAATACAACAGAAACACCTTTAATTAAAAATACAGAGAGGTCATCTTAATGTATGAAGCAATTTTTTAGGACAGGAGGATCTGGGGAGCGAGTTTGGTCTCAGCTGTGCCTGGTCACCATCTTCCTCCTGGCCTTTTTGTACCTCAAAGACTCAAATCAAGGTTTGCATTGGGTGCTGTGGCCCTCAGGGCTCCTGAGTCCCATCAGCCATCCATGAAGGTGGATATTCCCCACCCAGCTTCCTCCTTTTGGTAAAGGAGATTGATACCAGCTTGTTTGGTAACCTGGGTTTGCAAATCCGCTCTTCAAACACCTCCCTGAAAGCCCAGAGTTGACAAGGAGAGGAGGGAAAGAGCAGGGTTAAGCCTGCTCATCTGCAGCACTGGAGTTTATTTGGGACTGCTTGAGGTACCAAGCTGGATTTGGATCCCCTCCCTGAGCTGAGGAAGGAATGGATCAGTTTGTCTCAGCTCTGGAACAGAGTGAAGCCCTGGTGACCCTGCTGAGGTGGGTTTGGTTAGCAGGGGCTTGCTGAGAATACAATTGCTTATTGTTTTAGAGGCCTGGAGTGAAACTGTTTATCTCCAGATGGGTGTTTAAATGCAGCACAGCAGTGGTTCTGCTGGAGCTTTAGTGGTCTGAAGAGCAGGGAATGGGATGGAAAACAAGAGCCCTGTCCCTCTGTTCAGAGAACGAGGGAAGGATCTGCTTTTCCAGCAGTCTCCCTTCAAACCTGGCAGTGAACTGGCCGTAAGCAATAAAGAGCTGAGCTGGAAATGCAATTTCTGCTCAAGCAGAAGCCACGTTGTTTTGGTTCAGTTGGTCAAAACCGACGTCAGGCAGTTCTAGAGGTCAGTGATTAGCAGTCTGATGGAAATGAGTGAGTACAGGAGGCAAGGAAGCAGAGAAGGGAGTTGCAGGAGACTTGGAACATCCATCCCTTTCCTTGGGCAGCCAGGCTCAAACTCATGGAGCTATAAAGGGATTTTTGCTGTTTCAAGCTCTTGTGCTCCTCTCCTCTGAGTCATGGGGAGAGAAGAAGCCCATGAACTGATGGGAATGGGAGATCCTCATTCCTGCAGCTCCACTGCGGCTGCAGGGTGGTGAAAGCTGCCATCATACCTGTGATTCAGGCTCTTTGTGAGAAGGGGATAATACTCATCTAACTCATAAAGGATTTGTGATTTAATGTTTGCAAAGCACTTTAAGACCCTGGATTGAAAGGTGATTTATAATGGTGAAATCCAGTGTTCTCTGGTCTATTGTATATTTGATTGTGTCCACTTATCCCAATGGAGGCTTTTTTCCTTACCTTTTCTTTCTTCTTCTTTTTTTTTTCCTCTTTTTTTTCTTTTGCATTCCTGTCTTAACTTCCAGCCAAGCAGGGGTTGTGGCAGGCACAGTATGCCCAGCAAGAGGATGAGTTTGCCTCCCAAGGAGGTGCTAACTTATGCTGATGACATGAATAAAGATTAGGAAGGAAAAAAGGGGATTGCAAGGTGAAGGGCACAGGGGATTGGCGATAAAGCTGTGAAATGGGGGTGGGAAGGCTGTTTAGATGATGCATGCATAAGGAAAGGAAAAGATGCTTCATAAATAATCAGTTTGCATGCTCTTGTTTGTCAAACAAGAGCTTCTTCTTCAGCTGCTTCTCCTGTCCTGCAAATCCTGGCTGGAGCATCTCCTGTGGCAGGCTCCATCCTGTGGCAGGGGATGCTTTGTTGAGGCTCACTGCCCTGCCTGGAAAGCACACATTGTGCTAAGCATGAGGTCCCTGCCCGGGCAGCAGCATTTGCAGCAGCAGCTTTGGTCAAATTACAGGGTGTGCAAGTGCTAACTTGTGGTCCTATTTCCTGTTCAATTTTCAAATCTTGCTTTGCTGATGAGATGGTGAGGGCTGGGGAGCAAGCAGGCAGAGGCTGCACTGGTTTCCAAAAATAAATAAGTGTCCTCACCTGAATCCTGAGCAGGGATGTGGTCAGCTCTGCCAGCAGCTCAGTTGTCTCAGCCTCACTGTAATGGCCTGTGCAGCCACTGACTGGGTTCAGCGCAGGGCCGTGCCCTCTGCTTGTCATGGACACTCTCACCAGGTGGTTTTGTGTCAGCATCCCAAGCCCCAGAGAAGGGAACCAGCTGCTCTGTGAGGTGCCTGTTGTTGGCTTTGAGGAAAGCAGGGCGCTGGTGTCGGATGAGGTGGCTGTGGGGGATGTGGTGCAGTCGGAGCAGTGGCAGGGCAGCCCTCGGGTCCAGAGGGATCAGGGGTGCCCCAAGGATGCAGGCTCCAGGGCTGCTCCCTTCTCAGGCAGTGAAGACCTGTTGATGGGATAGCAGTGGCCTGAGATGGTTTTTCCTGGTCATCTCCATTGGTGGAGAGTGTCTCATTTGGACACAAAGGCATTCCCAGCCTGCATCCAGTGACAGCACCTGAACCTCCTGGGGAAGCCAGATGTCTCCCGATGGCTTCACCCCATTCCCTACAGAATTTGGGTGTTGTTCTGTCCCACCCAACTGTAGGTGATTCAGCCATCCTAACACTGCATTTCTTCCACAAGGTTTTCCCAGTGGGTTTGTATCTGCTGCGGCCTCTAATGACCTCTGAATGCTCAAGGTCCTTTTTGGCTTATTTTTACCTATTGCTTCAAAAAAATTCCAAATAAAATAGAAGCCACCAACCAGGTGTCTGAGTGTGCTGGTCTGAGCAAAATCATGAGATAATGGGATCCCCTCAGCTCATGGTACATCCCTTAGTCCTGATGCCGGGCATGTGGCCTTTGAGATGAAGGATGGCAGCCTGGGAGTGATCCATGTGCTGTGAGGGTGCCTGTTGGGGACCAGGAAGGCTGGGTACTTGCTTTGACAGGTGGCATCTCGTGTACCCTGCTTTGTGGGACACACTGTGAGCTTCTGCACCTGATAAAATAAAACTTGTTTTGTAATATCTCCTGCCTGTCAGAAGCAGCTGGCTCTGGAGGTCTCTGTGTTGTGTGATGTAGTCCCTCTGTGATGACTGAGTATTTATATATTTGTGTAAATAATTAGCACTCATTAGTGCTATATAACATTGACAGGTGTAATTTCTCTTGGTGTTAAGGGAAAGCAAGTGATCCCCTGGTTCCAGACAGCCCTCAAATTTGGCTTGGTTATTTTTTGTGGCTTGACGAGATTCACAGAATAAACCAAGGTTGAAGAGAAGTGATGGTGGCTTCACCAGGGGAGCATGGGTGATGGGTGGCTTCACCAGGGGTGATGGGTGGCTCTCGGGAGGGGAAGTTCCTGGGGAGAGGGTCTGTACAAGGCTCTGAGAAGGTTTTCTCCCTCCTCTAGCAAAATGAAGCCTCCGCTGTAGCTCAGTGAGGGGAACAACACGAGTGTTAAAAACTCAGCCAGAGAAGGAGTGATGGGAATGATGGGAGGTGTGCAGGACCTCAGGAGCTCTTCCACCGCTGCTGAGCTGACATCCTTGTTTTCAGTGCCTGCCTTCCCCGTGCTGGGGAAGGGGGATACATGCTGGGAATGGGGGAGGCCGAGCGAGCCCTGGGTACATCTTTGCCTTTTGGCCACCCACCCCTGTCTCTGCCTTGCAGGTTCCATGAAGAGCCCTGTCAACAAGACGGCGCTGACCCTGATCGCGGTCAGCTCCTGCGTGCTGGCCGTGGTCTGCGGCTCGCAGCTCTCCTGCCCGCTGACCGTCAAGGTGACTCTGCACGTACCCGAGCACTTCATCGCCGACGGTAAGACCCTCCTGGGACTCTGCCCCCACCACATGCCTTTGGGACACGGGAATCCCTCTCTTTGGGAATCGCTCCAGCTGTTTTCAACTGCAGGGATCCCCCTCTGCACGGGAGCAAAGCGCATCTGCGAGCCCGAGGCCACAATCTTAATCGTGTCAATTAATATTATCACTATTATTGTTGCTGCTAATCGTATCTGACGGATATTCCTGTTTTCCTCTGAGCTCCAGCCCTGGGAGCCTGTACAGACAGGCATCCTCCTGTCCTGCAGCAGCAGAGCTGCTCATCCCAGCCCTTGCAGCAGCAGGGAGGGGAATCGCTGGGGTTTGAGCAAAAGCAGAGACGCTTTGAAAAATTAGACGAGTGCTGCTGTCACTATTTATTGCTTTCTCCAACTGGGCTCCTTGCATTTGTTGTGTTTCACTGACCTTTTCTTTATAATGTGCAGTGAGCACCGAGTGCAAGTTTTCAGTAACATGAGGGCAAATTTCATTTTCTTCCAGCAGACAGGACCCATTATTCAGTCAGTTCCAATTCCTGCACTCGTCTCCTTGCTTGGGGCATGTGGAAGGGGCACTTTCTCTCTGCCAGAAATGTGCTACATGGAGCCAGTGCATCAGCAGCTGCTGGGGTGTCCTGGCGTGGGCAGCCCTAGGAAACCCCCCACTTTGGGAGCTGGAGGGAGGGGCAGCTCTTGGGGGATTAATGTTTTGGGGAGAGGGAGATGGTTAAAGAGATGCAAAGGGGTGACAGCTGCAGGGAGTGCTGGAGAGGGGCTGAAACCATCACCTCGTGGCAGAGTGGGAGTCACTAGTGTGTTTGAGGTGGGATCAACTGTACTAAGAATGTCTCTTCTTGGAAGTGTCCAAGACCAGGTTGGATGGAGCTCTGAGCAGCCTGGTCTAGTGGAAGGTGTCCCTGCCCATGGCAGGGGGTTGGAGTAAGATGATCTTTAAGGTCCCTTCCAACCCAAACCATTCTGTGATTCTGTGGTTTTATGATTTGAAAAAAGAGACTTGTCTACACCTTGACCTGTTTCTAAAAGGCTTTCAGGATTGTCCAGGCTGCACGTGGATATTCTGAAGTCTTCACAGATGGTTATTCTGAGTAGCTGGAGAACAGAAACTCTTGCACTTGGTGAATAAGGTGGCTCCAGTGCAAACCTGTGTCCCTTTGGGATGGGCACTGGCCAGTTCAGCACTTGGACTGGGAGTTCACAACTGGTTTTGTTACTTGCTGGAGGTTGGTCAGGAAGGCAGTGATGGAGACGGCATCCTGGTCCTAGCCTGGGGTTCTGGCCCAGGGAAGACAGAGTGTCCTCAAAAAAGAAAATAAACAAAATGCAGTGAGACTGCATAGAATGAAAGTGAAAAGCTGAGCCTGTGCCTGTCACCAGGAAAGGGGTGACAATGCAAATTATGCAAATGCAGAGAACACTCAAATGAAAATGACAATGAAATACCAATAAAACAGATTAATATCCTTGAAACTGGGGGAAATGGGATGATCTCCAGTCCCGACTTAATGACTTTTCTGAAGAGAAAGTGGCAAGAGGACTGGTAACAACAGTTTGGAGAAGAATTAAAATGAGCTTTGTAATGAAACTGTAAAATATAATTACAAACTGTGAAAACTTTTTTAATATTTTTTATGAGAAACAGTCAAATTCTTCACAGAGAAGCAGCCAAGACATTTTGCAGTGGCTATCACTTTTCCTGAAATCTCATCATTTTATGCGATGGCAGTTCCTTGCCTGGGAAGAGAAAAGCTCTTAAAGTTGTCCCTTCTTTCTGAATAACAACAAATCCCAAGGTGGCATCTAACTGGCAGCAAAATATTACAAAGCATTTAAAGGCATCGCAGAACTGAGCTGGGTTGGGAAATTTTAATGATACCCAGGAAAAAGCGTGGCTGGCTGTGTTTGCCAAGGCTCAGCACCTGGAGTCTGGTGGAGAACAGGGAACCTGCTCCTCCCTGGCGATCTCCTGCGGGGGTTAAACCTGCTTTTTACTGGCTGAAAAAGGGACTTGGCTTGGGCATCCCCATGGCACCGGGGTGGCAACAGAGCCGATGTGTTTGGCCTGGCAGAGTCTGGGAGCTTTGATCAGTCTTGAAACAGCCTCTCACGTGGCACCTGATGGTGGCACCATGTCTCGTAAGTGATGCCGTGCGCTTAAATCGCCTGGTTCCTGAAGCTGTTCCCTTTTGTGTTTTACATGATGATAAGGCAGGCTCTGCGAGAAGGCAGGAATGGTGCATTCACAGGAGATGTTCCTGTGCGAGGGAGCGGTGCCCTCTCATTCCTTTTTGAAATGCAGGATTTCAATAGATGCCAGGAGCCAAGAAAAATGTGAAAGCAGAGCCGCTACCGGCACCTCTGCAGGAGAAGCCAAACAAAGACAGAGGCTGAAAGAAATCCCTCTCCTAGACGATGAGAACTCAGCTTTGAAGGAAACTTTAAATAGATGCCAGCCAGCTCCGGAGTGCCAGCAGCCAGAGCCAAGCTGGGAAAAGGAGAGGGGGGAGCAGCCCCCCCAAATGTCTCCAGCCTTGGAGAAGAGCAGCGTTCCCTGCTGCAGCGAGCAACAGCATCAGAGGAAGCAGCTCCTGAGCCTGCTGGAGTGGCACTGTGGGAAAGGAGAGGGGAAGGACTGGGACCAGAAGCCAACTGGCAGCCAAGCTGGGAGGATATATTCCAAGCAGCAGTGCTAATAACCAGCCTGTCTCTATTGCCCTTATTTCTCTCTCGGTTTGTTTTCTTCCTTTTGTTCATTTGATGGGGTCCCCCTGCCTCGCTCCCCGCTGAGCAGTTATTGCCTGGTTTGCACAGCTGCTCTGCCTTCGCTTCATGGGGCCAGTGGAGCCTGGCAGGAGCTGCTGTGGCTCGCAGGGAGAGCTGGGACCTCCTGCCTCCCAGAAATGAGTTGGTGCCTCTAAATCCTCTCTTCAGATGGAGCAGTTGGAGCATCCTCTCCTCCCTTCTGCTGCTCCGGGGCTTTGTGTTTCGGGACAGCCTCTGCCCGTGCTGAGCAGAAGGCATCGCTCTGATTTCAGAGGTGGTGCAGATTTATGGAAAGAACCATAGTAGCTTTTATGAGGATATGGAAATGCAAGGCATTATTTAAAGGACCCTTTAGCAGAGTCAAGGGGGGGAAGAAAGGAATGAGAGCCCCTCCATCTGAGTAATAAAACTGTTATGAAAATGTGAGCCACTCAGCTGTACGTTCAATAGTTGTTTTTTGTTTGGTTGTTTGTTTTTTTTTTCTTGTAAGTAATCATTCAAAAAGTAGAGATGGAGCAGTGGGAGCAGCTTGCAGGGAAGTCGGGGCTGGAAAAAGATACCCTGGAGGGCTCAGCCTGGAGTACGTCCTTGCTGCACAACAGTGTGAAATATAGTATCAATTAAAGCTTCCCCTTTTTACGGCCTGTGAGAGGTTATATATGGCGTGGGTGGATGTTTGTATCTGGATACTTTAGTGGGAGAGGTAGGTAAGATCCTCCAGTGGTACACTGGAAGGAAGCAAGAGCTGTGTTTAGCAAGGGGCTGGTAGGGCTTTGTTTTATAAGTGGAAATAAAGCAAAGGGCATAAAGCAGGTTTGTGTCGCTTCAAAGACATTTTGGGGCGTTTACAAGCTCCTTCCCTCCTCTTCTGAGGCAAATGCCAGGAGGGATGTGGTAATCTTTCTGCACCTTGCTGAGCTGCAGGCTGGGTGTGTGGAGCCTGGTGTGGGCAGGCACAGTCCTCACTGTGGGATTGGAGCTTGGTGTGGGCAGGCACAGTCCCTGCCACGGACTTGGAGCTTGGCATGAGCAGACACTGTCCCCACTGTGGGCTCGGAGCTTGGCATGGGCAGGTGCTGCCTCTGCTGTGGCTCTGCTCTTGGCTGAACTCTGAACTGCTCTGATATGGCTCCATCACTGCTGCAAGTCTGGATGAACTCTCCCAGGGTGGACACTGCCCCGTGAGCGACAGAGGGAGGACAGCAAATCCAGTCCCCACCCTGCAAAGCCCGGAGAACAGCGGGAAGTGGAATTTCCATTTGAGACCATGTTTTGGGTTGGAGCATCTGACAAGATGGCAGAGATGGAGGAAGGTTTGTTTTTTTTTATTCTTTGAATCTTCATGCATCTGCGTCTGCCCCCCGAACGATGCCATCGTGTCCTTACCATGCAGCTCATCAGTAATTGTTTCATCTGAAGATTATTTCCTACCTTCCTCCATGAATGTTTCCTCCAAGACACGGGTGAATTGGATGCTGCTATTAGCAGCCTGTGTTAATTTTCCCTGAAGATTGTCAGAGCTCTGCAGACTGCAATTGTTGGACTCGCAACAACTTCTCATTTTGGTTTTAATTAAATGCGTTGCTTTAAATTGTTTGCTTTTGACGTCTCCTGCTCAATCTTTTGCAGTCCTCAGAGGTGACCAGGCATTAGCTTGTGTCCTCAGGTGCTTGCACTCAGCACATAAAGCACAGAGAAGTGAGCTGCAGGAGGTGGGGGACTGGCTTTGTCTCCATCCTGTTGGACAAGGAGAAGCTGAAGACACTCTCTGATTTACATGTGAAGCACTCCAGGTTTGTGCCAGAAGGATGGAGAACGAGGTCTGATCTCAAAGGTACCTCAGGCCAGGCTGGATGGGGCTCTGAGTAAGTGGCACAGGTTGCTCAGAGAAACTGTGGCTGCCCCATCCCTGGAAGTGTCTAAGGCCAGGTTGGACAGGGCTTGGAGCAACCTGGAATAGAGGAAGGTGTCCCTCCCAAGGCAGGAGGTGGAACAAGATAATCTTTAAGGTCCCTTCCAACCCAAACCATTCTGTGGTTCTCTGATCTCTCCAAGCTTTCAGAGGGTTTCTGCCATTTGGGTCCCCTATGTTCTCCAGCTGTTCCCAGCCCCACCAGTCCCCTCTGAAATCAGCAGAGGGAATTGACTGGCTTAAAATAAGTTTTTTCTTGTGCTGTTTTCTCCCCTGGGAGTTGTTCTGCTGCAGAGGTGCCTCTTT